CCAATTGACGATGAGGTGTGTCAAAAAAAAAAAAAAAAAACGAAGATCTTTTTTCTTCTTGTTTTCATTGCAGTTGCTATTGCTGCCCATCACAATCGTTGCTTCTGCTATCTGGTAGTCGCTGCTGTAAGCAACGGCCTTTGGACGATGTGATCATCTCCGTGTGTGTATATTTATGTGTGATGTCCTACCGAATAGAAAGAATGAGCATTTTTACACCAATTAGTAGCAGTTTTTTTCTTTTATTCTCCGAGTTCTTTTACAAGTCTATCACCCACTGGTTTTTTCTTTTTTTTTTGCTCACCTTACTGTTCTACCCGGGAAAAAAATAACCTGGTTTTTTTTTTTCTGCTCGACTATGGTAAAAGATTCCCGGTGTCTCTTCCTTTCTTTTGTTTGGCCAACTTGACAGTTCAGTTGCCCTTTCAGGTCTATCTTATCTCCTGTCCATCAACAGAATCATCATAATTATCATTATAACCACCACTACCTCTATTAGCACTCCACAGTGCCATCATGATTATTACTATTATTGTCAATGTCTCCTCGCAACAGTTTTCCCATTTGTACTCTTCTGTGTTGCATCTTTCTTCTGCTTACCAAAGGATTCCTTGATAACAGTTTTACATAATGAAATAAAGAATGGAAGAAACTATATGTCAACAACTTTTTCTTAATATGGCGCATAGGGCCAAAGGGAAAAAGAACGGACATTTAAAGAGAGATGAAAAGCAATTTAAATGTCCAATTTTTTTACAATTTTCAATACCTTTTGCTCTTTTTTTTTTTTTTTTCACTTGATAACCAAATAGTCTTTAGGTTTCATTTGCTCTAGCAGTTCACGTACGCAGGTGCACCGAACCGTTTTACATACATGTATAAAAATATATATACTGATATCTATATTTATATATTTACATGATCATATATTTATATTTGTAGGCAGAACAGAGTTGATTGGCCTTGGAGGCTTGGAGGCGTTTATGTATATAGCAAAAGAAAATTTTCCGCGTTTTGACGGGTATTGCAAAGTTGTAAACCGCGCAACAGAGAGAATAGAAAAGATGGTAGCACAAGCAAAAACACCCGGCTTTTTCTTGACAACTAAGTCCGTGTACCGGAATTAGTTGCTTCATATATGGCTCGGTCGTTTGGCAGGACAACATATCTGTACTAAACCTTGACCCTCAAGTTTCTGTCGACAACGTTAAATGTTAGCAACAAA